TCTGATTTCGTTCCATCCGCTATATTTGATTTTAATATATGCCACTACCTAATTTAAGCGTCAGAGTTGAAGAGGGGGAAATGGCAATGTGGGCCAGATTTTAGATGGTTGGCATGTAGGACTTCATAGAGAACTGTAAGGAGCCATAAGTTATGAACTTGCTGGGAATCGATTTTGCATGGGAAGCTCCATCCAACCAATAATTACATAAATACCATAACTGGAGAAAATTGGCAGGGCACTAAAACTATAAATGCAAGCTGTCATTTATTTAATGGAACTATTATTTTGATGCTGCCTTTTCCCTTTAGAAGATTCCTTAACAGCACATTTGGCCAGCTGATCACCTCTGACCAGCCTTCCTCTTAAATATTAGAACCCTCCTGTCTTAAATGTCTCCAGATCTGGGCCAAATGGAGACACTTTACTGAGTATTTGCTGGCTGTCAGGTCTTTAATCTTTACAATAATCCTGTGGGAAAGGTTTGAAAATCCTTCCTTTGCCTGTAGGAAGCAGTCATTCAGAATCAGGGCACCTGCCTACAGTCCTACACAGCTCTTCAAAGACAGGCTGAGGTTCAAATCTGGACTTCAGGCTACTTGCTCCTACCCCCACCCCAAATCCCACGGAGGAAGCAAGGATTTTTGCTACCAGTGTAAGCAGCTGTCTGCACGTGGGCTCTATTTTCCATGCTCCACCAGTCACCCTGCTACTTGTCTTCCAAATGTTTTGCACCTCCCCTTGTCCACAGACCTCCCTGGCACTATTTATCCTGAGTGCCACCTCTGCTTCCTGAAAATTCTCCCACCCCTTTTGTGCCTCTGTGGTGCTTTATCACTCTCTTAACTAGGGTTCTTTGTACCCTTAAGTGAGTTGCCTGAATTATTGATTTTCAGTGGGAGGGGTTAAGAAAGGGCATTTATTGGACACTTATTTGATCCAGGAATTTGTCTCCTTTGATCCTCTAAATAATTCTGTGAGGAGTTTGCACCTGTCATTTTACAAGTGAGATTGGACAACTCGGCAAGCCGAAATGGTAGAATGAATAAGCCCAGATTATAAAGTGTTGGAAGTATAGCGCGCGCGCGCACACACACACACACACACACACACACACACCCTTCGGAGACCCACACAGTGGCAAAGAATTCTAGTAATCCTTCCTAAAATGAATTAATGTATGGGTTGGCGAATGGATATTTGATTGAAGTCTGATTTATAAGTTTAGTAATAAACTGCACAGGACAGCTGAAGCACATCCTTTCCCCTGAAATATAAGGATTTCAAGTACAGATGAATATTGGTGGCAGCAGAATTTCCCCAACATTGAAATAATCCCAGAGTAGAAAAAAGGATTTCCTTAACCCTGGGACAATTAAATTGTAACTCTGCAAAGAGACCTACAACGCTTGCAATTCGAGAACAGGAGGAGGCATGTGTAATCCGTGCTCAGGAAAGCTCTAGAACACTGTCGCGGTTTCTTTGTGTGGTTTTTTTTTTTTTTCTCCCCAAAGTCTGCCCACCAGGGCGAGCAGGCGCCTGTCGCTTTAAGAATCTGGTGGAAGTCCTTTCCTCTCCCCTCCGGAGCTGTACCGGCTCGGCCTGGCCGCCAACCCCTTTCTGCTCTTGAGGACGTACTATGGGCTCATCCGCCCATCTGTCATAGAGGCGCAGCCTCTGATTGGCTGCTAGGCTTCGGGCTGGGAGGCGGGGCGGGAAGGCCTGAGAAACTAGTTTGTTGGCGGCGCCTTTGCGGGTCGGCACCCGCAGTGCGTCCGTGGCTGTGGCGAGCCGGTCTAGGTACCCGTGGCGGCTGCGGAGTACGAGGGGCGGCGGCGCCCGGCACAGTGAGTGCGGGGGCGGGACCGGGCCGGCCGGGGGCGCTGTCCTCGGGGCTGGGGCGGCCGCGCGGGGACTGTCACCCCTACCCGACGCGAGCTGCGCCCGGCACAGTGCGCCTCCGCCGGCCCGAGCGTCTGCAGCGGGGTCCCCGGCCACACGATCCGGGACAATGGGGGACTGCCGGGGCCGCGCACGGGCTGCCCTCCGCCTGTCCGGGGACAGCGGGGCTCCCTGCGAGCCGCGGGCGAGGGAATGAATTGTTTTGCAAATGGATGTTGCGCGCGGGAGCTGCTTCTCTTCCCCTGGGAGTGGTTGATTCATTGAGTCCGCAGACTCTCTTTTTAAAAAATTACTATTGATCCTAGAAAGAGGATGTAGCTGGTCTTCGAGGATGTGAGCGGCGCTGCTTTGAGCCCCGGCCGAGCCGAGGTCTCTGCGCTCTCGGCGCCGAGGAGGGCGGAGGGCTTAAACAAGGGGAGAATGCACCTCTTGGCTAGGCAGCTAGGAGCGGGAAGAAAAGATCTAACTCCTGGAGTCACACCCACCTACCCACCCAGGTGGTGGCCAACCTGGCGGGGCCATACCAAGCACCTCTAGCTGGACCTTCCTCCTCCCACACCTTGCCCTGCCTCCGAACTCCTCAGGCCCCCGCCTGACCCGTTGTCCTTTGCTGTTGGGGAACCTGGTTTTAAGCAAAGATACTTTCTCTCTCTCTCTCTCTCTCTCTCTCTCTCTCTCTCTCTCTCTCTCTCTATTTCTGTAGAGACCTGACCACAGGAAGTTGTGGTAGGGGGTTCGACACCAGGCCCCTTCCAGTTCATCTGGAAGTTGGGGAGCCCTGCTGAGTCCCAGTTGCTATGGCCCAGGCTCACTGGGCTTTGGTATACTCCCTGCTGAGGCAGGGCAGTGTATGCCAGATTGCCTGGGCCATTCGCTTTCACTCTAGCCTGGCAGTGGACAGGGAGGAAGGGAAACTGCCAGTGGCACCAGTCTCTGGTGGCTGGGCTTTGGCACTTGGCCCTCTGGAACGCTAGGCCTCACTTTCGCCTTTCATAGGTGGCACAGTTGTGCTGTGAGGATTTCAGGGGAATGTTGGTAAAGGCTTGTGTTTGCGGTCTGGGGAGGAGAAGGACACCTCCTCACCCTGGGGTAGATTCAGCCCTTCCGAGACAGGGGTGCTTGAATTCACAGGCTGTGCCTGTAGAGGCTGGGAGAGTCAGTTTTGCCTCATGCCCCTCAGTTAATATTTCAGTTTTTAGTCACTTATCAGCAAGTGACTGCAGGGAGGTTGTTTAAAAGGAATATAGAGAGAGATAGAAGAAACCTTTGTCCTGGGTCTGCGGCCACAGCTGAGCTCACATGCTGCACATGTGTAGTGCAGAGAGAGCTGTGGGCAAGTTGCATGCTCCAGAGTGGGGGCAGCGTCAGTGGCCCAGTGCCCACTGATGACTTTTTAAGCCTGTGGGCACCAGTGTGAGAGAAGAGTAGGAAGAAAAGAGAGAGAGGACCCTGCACAGGGACTGTGGTCTGCAGTGAAAACAACCTTCCCTTTTCCTGTCACTTAGAGGGAGGGGTGGGCCTGGGAGGAGTGCACATGTTATCAGTAGGTGGTTTTAGGTGCTCATTCAATCATTGGTTTGTTGTTTGAGCAGACTTGACTGGGGACTCTGCCATGAAAGACTCTCTAGACAAAGGGGGTGCTGGCACATGGATTAAGGGCCTTGACACATCACAGTGTGCAGAGAGCCCCAGTGAGTAGGACAGCAAGGGGAAACTGAGGGGATGGAGAGGAGGGGCCTAAGTGGTGAAGGCCAGGGAAGAGGATGCCTGGATAACAAAGACCTGCTACAGCTCAGGTGCCAGATCCTGGACCGCAGCCTTCTGTCTTGCCACTCATCCACCCTCTGCCCTTCCAGAGCCCCTTCTGGTGCATGCTGGCCCCAGGCACAGGTGAGGTCAGGGAGAAGGCATGTAGGAGGTGACCCAGAGGTTCATTCTCAGCCATGCTAGTCTTGTCAGCATGGGCAGCAGTCCAGATTCTATCTGCACCCTCTCTTTTCAGGGGGTCCTGGGAAGACTGATCCTGCTGGCCAGCTTATTGCTTGAGCTCTGAGCCCTTTCCAAGTCAGCAGTGCAGGTGTGTCCTGGCTGGCGGGGCTGGAGACTTGTGGAGTTGGCACTAGCAAACAGTGGCCCACCGCAAATGAATTGGCTGATTGAGATTCTGGTTTTCATCTAATGTGGTAAATTTCATAATTTAATTGCCTCAGCTGATCTGTGCTAGTGAAGCATTTTCACCAGTCAGGAAACAGTGGGAACTCTTGGGGGGAGGGGCAGGAAGAGGTGGAACTTAAGTATTCACTGCTTTTAGTCACAGCATCCTAGCAGGACTTAGCAGTCTGCCTCTATCTGACTCCCACCCCACACTTCACCCCCTTTGCTAGGCAGCCTCATCCCCCACCCCCTCCAGCAGCCCTGTCCCCCTACCAGTTCTAAATATGCCTAAAGCTGTCACCTTGCCAGGTTTCTCAGGGGCTGTTAGGGCATGACAGCAGGTACTGACAGGGTAAGAGGGGCAGAAAGGGGCTTTGGGAGAACTCCCCCTTAAGTCCTTTCAGTAGTCAATGGAAGGAGCTCAGGCTCTGGCTGCACTGGGGTTCAAAGGCTATCTTCAGGGATATTGTGAAGATGGAATACCTTACAGTGTAGAATCTACTAGAATGGTGTCTGGCATTGAGTGGGCACTGGTCATGAACAGTTCCCTTTCCCTTTGTTCATCCTCCTGGCACAGGATGGAGGTGGGATGCTTGTTGCTTTTACCACCAATTTACGACCCTCTCTGTGATCCCTTTCCCCTCCCTCTCTTGCCTCTTTCTTTCTCTTAAGCCTTTTTCCCCTAGTCCTGTCTAGGTGCTCTTTTGCATGATAAAGGGCAGGCTATATGTGGTTTATTGACCTGTTTTTTATAGTGTCTGTTCTGTGGGCCGAGATTAGCTCAGTTGATAGAATGTTTGTTTAACATGGGCAAAGCCCTGGGTTCAATCCCCAGCACTGCATAAAACCAAGCCTGGTGGCACATGCCTGTACTCCCAGCACTGGAGAGATAGAGGCAGGAGGATCAGGAGTTTAAGGTCATCTTTTGGCTACATACCAAGTATAAGGCCTGGGTTACATGAGGTCCTATCTCAAAAAAAGAAAAAAAAAAAAATAGCAGCTCTGTGATCTCAGAAATCCAATTTAACTGGGAAATTGTGCCATACTTTCTACAAATACTAAAACTTCGTAGCGATTCTTTCCCCAGTGATCTGCCACCTGAGTTCCACATGGAGCCTGTGTAAGGCCACCATATTTCAGTGCAAACAAGGCCCCAGGCCACTTCTCTCTTCACCATCTCGCAGTAGGATTCCCTCAGACCTGGAACCTGTTGACAGAAAGAACACTTATGTGGGAGTCCAGGCTGTGTGCCTGTATATGTGGATCCCTTGCTGCTGTGAGCTTCAGGTGACTCTTCTAGAAAATGGGTAGCTGCTCTTCTGCAGTGTTCTGTCAAATATCTTGCTGCAACATCTCAAAGGTTCTTGCAAGTTCTGATGTTAAGCAGTTTTATAAGACTTGGGTGTTGCCGATGTGGGCAGGAAGGGTTTGAAAGTCAGCCAATGGAAGACTGAAACAGGAGTCTGAAGTCAGGAGTTGGTGGGTTACGGTTCCAGCTCTGCCTTTGATGCGTGCTGTGGGCCTTGTTATTGAGACAATAACTTGGGACAGGTTATTTTCCCCGTCTAGACCATTGTTTTTCCACTTGTAGAAAAAGAGGTGCAAGAGCAAGCTCTCAGCTTCCTTATCTCGATGAGTGGAGACTGAGCCTGTTCCTGCTGGTTACTCCAGAGCACAGAGCTCTTCTCCCGTCCACCCCCTCAGTTCTCTAATTGCCTCTCAGTTTGGGTCCACACTATGCCTGTGGAACTGGATCGGGGAAGCACCAGTCTGGGCCCAAGGGAGCAGGCATGGGCTCAGAGGAAGGTGGTTTGTGGATGACTCATTTCCAAGGTGTCCCTGGCTGCTCCTGGGCAGATTAACTGGGCAGCAAGTATGGGAACACTTAGGGTGACCCCCCCCACCTTTCTAATGGATGGGTTGAGACCTAGCCTTTGGGATGTCCTCTAGGCACAGAGCCAAGCTGACTTCTTAGAGGCATGATGGACAAAAAGCCCAGAGGAGCAGGAGGGATTATGAGGGAGCCTGGGAGGGTGGGCAAGAACAGGAGGTTAAGTGCGAGGCTTTGGCAAGGAGGTGCCTGTAAGACCAGTTGGGTGGCTCCTCCCACTGAGCAGGGCTGTGGGAAAACGATGGCTGCTGCCTGAGGACCACATCCACCTTCGCTGTCCCACCCACCTCTGCCAGAGCAGAGGCTTTCAGTGTAAGCCTGCCAGCAGGAGTAAGACATGAAACCAACAGTCTTGCTTATTTTCTGCCTGTTTCTGTTGGACCCCCAAGGAGGGGCTGACTGAAGATCAATCTAGGCCAAGTGGAATTAATTTTCTAATTAAGATAGGAGATTCTTTCCTTGTTCAGACTCCAAGATGAGCTGCTTGCCATGTTTGAGGTAGCCAGGCCAATTTGTATGGATAGGAGTGAGGACCAGTAGGCAAGGAGCTCTTTCTAGAAAGCCATGATGATAGTACCCAGAGTCCAGAGTTTAAGTTCAACTGGACCTGTGAGACTTTGGGCAGTGAGTCCCTTTACCCATGAATGCCTCTGTTGTGAATTCACAGCCTTGGGAATCTGAAGGAGAAAGGTTTGCTGTTCTATTCATGAGACCAACATTTACCTGACTCCTTCTGAACGGCTTGCCTTGGCTTGAACACTGGGGAAGAGAGGCAAGCTCAAAGAGAGTTTACTTTTGAGCTCAGCACAGTCATTGTGCCTCAGTTTCCATATTGAAGAGGTGAGCAAGTAGACATTGCTGGACAGTGGATATGTCTTGTCCAATGGATATGTCTTGTCATGTGTCCTCTGCCAGGCCCCGGAATGCAGAGTCCAAGGTGAGGCCCATGCTCCTGGAGCCCCCACTCAGCTGGGGGAGGCAGACAGCTGGTAGACCCATTACATGCAGCAGCCATGAGAAGGGGTGCAGGGAAGGGGATGCAGAGATATGAGGAAAGGAACAGGGTAAGGAGCATCTACTTAGACAAGAGGATTGAGGAGGTAGTGAGTGCAAAGTCTGGGGTGTGGCACAGGCTGGAGAGGAGTGGGCACAGGGCCAGGCTTCAGCAGGGGGGCTGAGTAGGCTGAGGAGACTAAGGAAAATATTGTGCCTTTAGATTTTTTTCCATTAAATCTAAATATATTGACAGATTCCCTGTATAAATGAACAGTACAGAAACAAACAAACACATGCTGAAAATATGCCTCCTCCTTAGTGTGTGTCCACAGATAGAGATTATGTATGGATTTTGATTTTCTATAGTTGGATCCTATTAAGTACTCTAACAATTTCTATCACCTAGTGTATGGAGAAGTTCTTTCCCTTTTCACAGCCACATACTATTCCATCCTTACTGTGGCCAGACCACTAGCCTTCATCCCATTGTTTCCTAATGAGAGACATTTGGGTGGTGCCTATATGTTCAGTGAAGTCATAGAAGCCTGTGATCATGGATCCTTATGATCAGGTATGACTGTTTCAGATTTTTATTATTAAAGCCAAACGCCTTTCATAAATACTTATTTTCCCACCAGTGATAATGTCCAAGTGGCAATTTCTTCATATTTTTACTTCCATCCTTGATATCTATATTTTTAAGTTTAGCTGATGATGGAGCCAGTCTCATTATTCCTTTAAAAAAATAATAAGGCCAGTGATCCAGTTTATTCAGGCTTTTCTTTGGACTCTAATCCACCTCTGTTTTTCTAGAAGATCAAGGTTTAGCCAGTGCTGGTTCTGCCTCCTGTTGGTCTCTGGCCTCAGCTGGGGATTGAGTGAAGCTCTTGGTTGTATGTGCTCATCTGTGATATGAGGCCCTCTAATCCCTCCCTGCCCAGCCCTGCCAGCTGCTCACTGCAGTATGCCTTGCACAGGAAGCCTTCTGGAAGTTCTTTTCCTGGCTCGGAAACTCTGCAAATGTCAGGGGGTGTGCTTTCTATTGTTGGGAACCAAGATTTGAAGGCTGGAGTATTGAATGAGTGCCTCAAACAGCATCTCAGGACAGTCAGGTGCAGTCACCTAGGCGAAGTGCAGGTGGCCTGAGAGAAGGTTGGCTGGGTTTGAGGGTGCCTCATGGGGCTGGGCCACCTACCCAGGTAAAACATTGAGCTGGCAGGACAGAGCCAGCTCTTTCACTTGCCTATGGAAATGCTTGGAAGGGCATCGGTGCTGACTGAACCCTGGTACCTGTCAACAGAGGCCTTGGGCTTTAGCTTCAATCTTTGTGAGTTGCATGTTTCTTACCTTGAGGTTCTTTGTCTGTTTTTCTGTAACAAATTGCTTTAAAAGAAGCCAGAGATCTACCACAGGGGTCCTTGTACTTGACTGGCAGGAAGTGTGGGGAGTGGAGACTAGGAGAGATCGAGAGCCAGTTCTTGGGATTGTAGAAAACCAGGTCCTACATGTGATCCCCTGGCGGCCAGACCCTGTGACTGAGATGTCAGAATGGCCAGGCTATGTCCTGGGCCCTCTGTGGTGGAAAAGCCCATCCCTGCTGGAACTCAATGCTGGGCCACTGGGCCAGGCTCTCCTGTCACTCTGGGAGGGCTTGTACTCCCACCCTTCAGAAGCAGCACCCAGTCTCACAGTGATCACTGTCCTAGGACCACTTAGAACTGCACCCCAGAGAGAGTACATGTTAGAGCCACCAACATGAAAGGGGGACCAGGGAGGCAACAGAGGCAACAGTGGGGCCTCCAAAGGGCTCTAGTAGGAGGCCTCTTCAAATGTTCTTTTGTTTGTGAAGGGAGGAGACTGAAGGCAGTTTTGTACGTGGAACCCTTCTCCTTTCTTAGTTTGTTTGGGAAAGAAGTAAGAGAGCATCCCACCCCAGAGCTGGTTTTGAGGGGGCTGTCCCACCTAGGCCCTGGCCTACTGCCAACCTAAACTCAATTTCAGGCAGGTGTGGCATAGAGTGGAGCATAGCTGAATCACCAGGCTTCCCTCTCAGGCCCCAGTACCCACTGGGGTATCTGTGTTGCAGGAAGTTGCAGTTGCTATTTTTACCAATCTACCCAGGACTTTATACCAAAAGATACAATTAAAAGCAAAATGTCAGGGTTTGGCTGGCCAGCGAGGCTGTCACCATCTGAGGCAGAGCCACTACATACTGGTCACTTGATATGTAAAGCAAGGCACGTCTGTACGTGGGCACACACCTGCCCTGGTTGCAGGAGCCTCCTCAACTGCTGCTTGTGCCTGAAGTTTCTTTTCTTTTTTGAGATTGGGTCTTATGCAGCCCAGGCTGGTCTCAGACTAACACACTCTACAGTTGAGGATGACCTTGAATTTCCTATCGCCTTCACCTCCAAGTGCTGAGATTAAAGGTATGTGGCACCATGCCCCATTTGTGCAGTGCTGGGGCTCTAACCCTGGGCTTCGTGCATGGTAGGCAAACACTACCAACTGGCTGCATCCCCAGCCCCGAAGTTTTCTTTGAGGTCCCAAAGAGTCCTCACTTAGTTTGCCTAGACAATTGCACCTAAAATACCTCACAATTGACCAGTCATGCAGCTGTGGAGCAAGGCTGGGAGACAGGAAGCTGGAGCTTTATTAAATGAAATTACTGAGCTCTTATTTGACCCTGCTAAGTGCCAGGGACAGAGATAAATAAGAAGCCCTGCCTAGCCACACACACCCAGCAGCTAAAGATCTCGCAAAGTGTGTGTTGTCCCTTAACCTTTAGAAAGGAGCCTGCTTTGCTTCTGGTTAGAGGCCTAGTGGGGCTTCCACTGGTGGCCTGCCTTGTCTGCAACTTCACTTTCTGCAATTTCAGTTAGCTATCCATGGTTACCTGGTCTGAAAACATTAAGTAGAAAACTCCAAAAATAATTGATAAGTTTTGCTGGGTGTTATGGCCCAGGCTGGCCTCAAACTAGTGGTCTTCCTGCCTCAGCCTCCCAAGTTTTAGAATTACAGGTGGGGCCACCACTCCTGGTTTTTGTTGGTCACTTACTGTGCCTAGTCTCTAAGTTCGGGGGATTGAACTCAAGTCCTGGTGCTTGTGGAGCAAGCACTTTACTGACTGAGAGCAATCTCATCTCCCCAGACCGGGGTTCATTGATTGGGTCAAGCCCACCCGTTTAGTTGCTCATTCTTTTTTTTTTATTTTTTTAATATTTTATTTATTTTTATTTTATGTATATGAGTGTATTGCCTCCATGTATGTGAGTGCACCCATGTTGTGCAATGCCGCAGAGGTCAGAAGAGGGCTTTGGATTCCCCTGGAACTGGTTAAGGATGGTTTGTAGTTGCCCTGTGGGTGCTGGGAATTGAACCCGGGTCCTCTGCAAGAATA